CCAAAAGGCTCCGCGGTGATTGAAAGCTCTCTCAACCTATGGACGGGGAAGACTTCTCGGCCTAAAGGCTGAGAGGCCAATGGCAAGAGGACGGGGGCGGTATTTTCCGGCTGCTTTGCCGGGCGTCCCACCTGTGTCCCCACAGCCCTGTCACGAATCCCGGTCGGGTTCTGGGCAGGACAGCCACGGCGTAGCGGGCCGGCTGTGGCTCGGCGGTGGAGGACCCTCGCTCGGTGTTCCGTCCGGGGCTGGGCCTGGGGGCGGTGAGTGATCCGGGGAAGGAGACTGCGGCTGCAGCCTCGGAGCTGCTGAGGGGCGTGGATGGGGCTCGCCCAGCGCCCCGAGGTTGTCCCTGCTGGGTCCCTGCGCTCGCTTTTCAGAGCCCATGGGTCTTGCTGAGGAGTGGGGAGAGGTGGCTACACTTTTCTCTGCCGGCGTCGGGATAGCTTATCCTCTTGGTCTTTTTTTCTTTCATTCTTTTTTTTTTTTTGCTCCTCGGTGATGGTCTTCTGGTTTCAGTTTAGCTTTGCGACCCTCTGATCGCTGCACCCAGATTAGGGCCTGCAGCACCGCGAGGGAGGAGAATGGGTCTCGGTCCTAGCCGTGCGGTCATGTTCCTATTAATAAACCCAGGGAACCAACTAGTGCTTCTCACAATGGCACTTAGTCACAGCACCACAGCCTCTAGGGCCTTTGAGGTCACCTGAGGTCACCTGTACAGGGGGCAACAGACTGGGTGGGAAACAGCGTTTGTCTAACCCTGACTAAGAGTTCTCCATCCCGCTGTCTCCTGCAGGGGGGCCCTGCTGTGGGTTTGTAATGGATGTAGAAATAAAATGTTTGCTCAGACTCATTACAGTGTTCACATCCTAATGACAATATATTTTTTTATTAAGGTTTTAAACCAGAGAGATGATATGTATACCCAGTACATTCTAAGTGGCCAATAGCAATGTCTGTAAAGGCATCAGTGTTCCCAGGAAAAGTGTTTGTGTATTCTAGTAGTACCAGGTGCTTCGACAGGTAAGACAAAAGATGAAAGAGTCAAACTTCCTCACCCCAGTCTAGTCCATTCTCCACTGAAATGCAGAATTCTTTGTAGCAGATTCAGCTTGCTGACTTGTATTTGTTTCTATTGGAAACTCTTTAAGTGGAAAAAAAAAAACCAAGCATTATCTTATATATTTTTTGTGACTCCTACTGCCTTACAGCATATTGATTACTGAATAACTTAATGATTCATCCAGTAACCTGACCATCTCCCCCCAAATAATTTCTTCATGATACTGATGTTGATTTTATTAATGTCTTAATGATTGTTTTCAGCCCTCAAATATTTTGTTTTATGCTTATCCCCATTAAATTTCACTTAATTTTACAGTTTATCCATGGTGGTTTTTTCAATCCATGTCTTTTGAGTCCCACTTCTGACGTCATTAAATCTTGAAATAGAATGATACCTAGGACAGTTCCCTTTGGGCTTCTGCACAGTTTAGCCCTTGAAATTGACACTAAATCTACAAGACAAGAAAAGTCAGCCTTTCTCATAACTAATCTGAGTCTAATTAAGTCCAAAATCTCCTACCTAGCTGAGGAAAATATTGTTGGAGAGAATCCAGTGCTTTCCAGAAATCGAGTTATTACCCACACACTCTCCTCTGTTTTTCTTGTCCATTGTGGACAATTTCTTCCTCAAAGCATTCATGTCTTCAAAAGAGTGAGGGTCCTACAGAGGTGTTTGGAGGCCCAGTCCTCACTTTATGATGAAAAATTGGGCCAAAGGAATGATTATGTAAAAAGAGAAAAGTAGACCATCCCTTCTGTTGTTGACAGCATTTGTTATTGTTGTTGTTCAGTCTCTAAGTCATGTCAAACTCTTTGCAACCCCATGGACTGCAGCATGCCAGGCTTCCCTGACCTCCAGTATCTCCCTGAATTTGCTCAGATTCATGTCCATTGAGTTGTTGAACCATCTCATGCTCTGCTGGCCCCTTCTCCTCCTGCTTTCAATCTTTCCCAGCATCAGACTCTTTCTAGTGAGTCATCTCTTTGCATCAGGTGGTCAAAATATTGGAGCTTTACATTGAAACAAGTATACTATCAAGGGTGAAACAGATCACCAGCCCAGGTTGGATGCATGAGACAAGTGCTCAGGGCTGGCGCACTGGGAAGACCCAGAGGGATNGTGGCGCTCAGGCTCAGCAGTTACCGTGTGGCCTTAGGAGATCTGTGGCTTGTGGGATTTTAGTTCCCTGACCAGGGATTGAACCCATGCCCCCATGCAATGAATCTTGGAGTCCTAACTGCAGGACCACCGGGGAAATCCCTGTATCTTAAACACTTTGAGAGGGCCCAGATCTGAGACGTCTCTGGGGATGTTGGTCTCTTAGAGCTCCAGTTCTCTGTGAGAGTAATTGACACCTCCCTGGCAGAAAAAGAATGATTTCTATTTTTATGGCACTTAGTGGTTTTCAGATTTCTTTGATATTTTTCTGTCTGATTGATATCTTACCATAGCCCTTTGATATATGTATTTTCATTCCCCCTTTCCAGCTGAGGACCCTGAGACTTAAAGTTTAGTGGCAAAAGTGAGCCCAGCCCAGGTCTTTGTGGAAAAGGGAAGGTGCTCTCCCCAGAGTTTTTTTCCCCATCACTTAAACAAACAAACCGACCCCTCCAGTGCTCTTTCTAAAATACCATGGCAACTCTGCCTTTTTTTTGTTTTTTTGGCTGTACCATGAGGCACACAGGATCTTAAATCCCTGACCAGGAATTGAACTCATATCCCTTGTGGTGGATGCACGGATTCTTAATCACTGGATCACCTTCTTTCTGGGATGTCTCTCCTTCTTTCTGCTTTATTTCATATCTATTACACAAGTAATATATATTCACTAAAGGGAAAGATAAGCAAAATGAAAACAAAAGTCATCTATTCCACTACTGAAGAGTTATGATCTAAGCATATATACAATTAAAAAAAAGAGGAAATAAAAATAATTGGGATCATACTGAATATTCAGTGGTATATCTTACTTTCTTACACAATGTACTGTGAATATATTTTGACAATAATAAATATCTGTACATTAAAGTAAATACTTAGTATTTTATTGTATGGAATACAGTAATTACATAAAATTGAACCATACATTTTTGGACTACTTTTAACCTATAAACTGGCAATTTCAGATGGCTCAATCAAATGAAATTATTTCTTTGTTGGGAGCTATTTGGGTCATTTTAAATTTTCACCAGTATTGTGATGATGCTCTCTTAACTAATTGCCTTTTTAAAAATCTTGCTTATTGAAATAATTAGTTAAAAGTTAGCTAATATATATATTTTTTGCACAATGTCCTTTTTTTGTTTGTTTACTTTTGTTCATTTCTTTAGACTCTGTAGAAATTTCTGGGTTTGAGAATAGATACCTTTCTAAGATAGTTGGTATTTTTGCCAATGCCTTCCAAAAAAGACTGAATCAATTTATTTCTTCCTGTTAGCATTATATGAAATGTCTATTTCTTTAAATTCTGTCTATCACAGGGGGTATCATAATCTAAGAGTGTAGGTAAAATAATAGTGATAGCTAACATTTATTGAGGACTTAATCATTTCATCCTCATGACAACTCGTAAGGTAGGTCTTTTTAATTAAATGAAATGTATTTATTTATTTTTGGCTGTGCTGGGTCTTTGTTGCTGCACAGACTTTTTTCTAGTTGCAGTGCAAGGGCTTCTCATTGCAGTGGCTTCTCTTGTTGCAGAGCATGAGCTCTTGGGTGCTTGGGCTTCAGCAGTTACGGCACATGGACTCTAGAGTACTCCGAGGCTCGAGAGTACAGGCGCAGTAGTTGTGGTGCACAGGCTTAGTTGCCCCTTGGCATGTGAGATCTTCCCCCAAACCAGGGATTGAACCTGTGTTCCCTGTATTAGTGACTTTAGGGACATAGTAGTTCCATGGCTTGGGGATCCTCCCAGACCGGGGGTTCAAACCCATGTCTCCTGCATTGGCAGTCAGATTCTTTACCACTGAGGCACCAGGGAAGCCCTGAGGTGGGTTTTATCATTATCCCTAATTTATAGATGAAGACACAGAGACACAGGAAGTTTAAGTAATATTCCTGAGGTCACACATCTAGTCAGAGACATAGTTAGGATTCAAATTCAGACAATAAGACTCCTGAGTTTGCACTCTTTACCTTTATACTATATTCCCTGTGTGTCATGGTTTTAATCTGAATTTCTTTGGCTAATGATGAGTTAAAAGTTTTTCACATATTTATAGGCTGCTTTATTTTCTTTTGTGAATTGCCCATTCATGTCCTTTGTCCTTTTTTTTTTTCCACTACAAGTGTTTGTCTTTTTCTCATGGTTATATTGACTGCTGCCCTTCTGGGAAAATTTAAAAACCAAACATTATAGTTAACTTCCTTGATTCTTTCTAAGGGTGAGGTCATGGCGGCTTTGTTTTGATAAAGTTATCTCTCCACAGGAGTTTAGCCTTGTGCCTTGAGGGATGAGTTATTGTGCTTATTCTAGAGTTTCTATCACCCAAGTCTGATTTTTTTTTTTTTTAAATGGGAAGCAAAGAGCTTTTTCTCAGCCTCTTGGGAGATCACCCTGTTTTATCACGTCATCATGGCTGCCCTTTTCATTTTTATTTATTTTTGGCTCCACTGGGTCTTTGTTGCTGCACACAGGCTTCCTCTAGTTGCAGCGCACAGTTTCCTCATTACAGTGGCTTCTCACGGCAGGGCTCGGTAATTCTGGTGCACTGGCTTAGTTGTCCTGCAGCATGTGGAATGTTCCCAAAACAGACCAGGGATCTAATCTGTGTCCCCTGTATTGGCAGGTGGATTTGTAACCACTGGACCACTGAACATACATCAGAATTTCCTGGGGTGGTCTCCTTTACCTGGGGAAGAAGAGGGGCTTGCATTTTCTCAAGCCTTCTGTGATGGCTCAAATTAACAACCTGTGTTCACCTTCCTTATAGGATTTTGAAACCAAGTGTAATCTCCCAGCTGGAGCGGAAGGAAGAGGCATGGGTCCTACCACTGCAAAATTTTGAGGCAAGGAAGATCCTGAGGGAAAGTCACACAGGTGAGATGTGTTGCCTGGTGGGTGGAAATCTGGCATTTAGGCCCTTGTTTAGTTAAGGAATTTGGAATGCTGCCCTAGACTTTTTAAAAAAATTTATTTATTTTTGGCTGTGCTGGATCATCATTGCTTCATGCGGGCTTTCTCTAGTTGTGGCGAGCAGGGGTTAGTCTCTACTTGCGGTGCATGGGCTTCTCATTGCAGTGGCTTCTCTTGTTACAATGTGCAGGCTTTAGAGCTCGTGGGCTCAGTAGTTGTGGTTCACAGGCCTAGTTGTCCCACAGAATGTGGGATCTTCCCTGACCAGGGATTGAACCTGCATCCCCTGCATTGGCAGGCGAATTCTTCACCACTGAGCCAGCAGGGAAACCCTGCCCTAGACTTTGTTCTTGCTGTTAGAAGTTTAGCTTTGACTTCCTGGACCATCAGTCATTGACCAAATAAAGCCTTCATTTAAGTTAAACATTTCACTTTTGTCTAGACTCTAACATCATTGAAAAAAGTTGCCCAGTTCTGACAATATATGTGCTTTACTCTTGATATCAAGGTCACCTCAGGGTTCACTGGACCATCTTAAAATAAAATTCATGACCTTCTGTCATGAATGGGAAGCTCAGTAATCTTCAGTAAACTCTTCAGGAATCAAAATGAGAGTAGTCAGACTAAATGTGGTCTGTCGCAAAAACGCTAATTTTAATCTTCTTGCTGCTTTCTGCTGATCTTTCCTGATTGATGTTTAGTCACTAAATTGTGTCTGATTCTTTTGCGACCCCATGGACTGTAGCCTGCCAGGCTCCTCTGTCCATGGGATTCTCTAGGCAAGAAAACTGGAGTGGGTTACCAAATCCTCCTTCAGGAGATCTTCCCGACCCAGGGATAGATCCTGAATCTCCTGAATTGACAGGTGGATTCTTTACCACTGAGCCACCAGGGATATACTCTTCAGGAATCAGAGTGAGAGTAGTCAGATTAAATGTGGTCTGTAGCAAAAATACTAATTTTACTCTTTCTTGCTGCTTTCTGATGATATTTCCTGATAAGTAATAACTTCATCCTGTGTTACTTCTGTTAACTTTTCAGAATTTAAGCATCAGGTGGTACAACTTGATCAGGACATTTCCGAAACTACAGAACCATGTGGAACATCCTCAGAAGGGGCCAATAAAGATATTTCTCCTCCTCTTAGCTGGGGAGGAAACTGGGAGAGGGGTCTTGAGTTAGAAGGGCAGCATGGTACCCTCTTGGGAGAGGGTCAGCAGGGGCCCTTTTCACAGGAGAAGGAATTAAACAAGCTCCTGGAAGGATATATAGGAAAGAAGCTGGTGTGTGCAGAATGTGGGAAAAGCTTTAACCAGAGCTCCTATCTCATAAGGCACCGAAGAACCCATACTGGCGAGAGGCCCTATAAGTGCATGGAGTGTGGGAAAGGCTTCAAACAGAGTTCAGACCTTGTCACCCACCGCAGAACACACACAGGAGAGAAACCCTACCAGTGCCACAGGTGTGAGAAAAAATTCAGCGACAGCTCGACCCTCATCAAACATCAGAGAACCCACACGGGCGAGAGACCGCACCAGTGCCCCGAGTGTGGGAAGACTTTTGCACGGAAACCACACCTCACGGTGCACCAGAGAACCCACACGGGGGAGAAGCCCTATGTGTGCCTTCAGTGTCACAAGAGCTTCAGTCGCAGCTCCAATTTCATCACCCACCAGAGGACGCACACCGGAGTGAAGCCCTACGGGTGTCGCGACTGCGGGGAGAGTTTCGGCCAGAGCTCCGATCTGATTAAGCACCAGCGCACCCACACGGGAGAGCGGCCCTTCAAGTGCCCCGAGTGCGGGAAGGGCTTCCGAGATAGCTCTCATTTTGTGGCCCACATGAGCACTCACTCGGGAGAAAGGCCCTTCAGCTGTCCTTACTGCCACAAGAGTTTCAGTCAGAGCTCACACCTGGTCACGCACCAGAGGACACACACGGGCGAAAGGCCTTTTAAGTGCAACGGCTGTGGGAAGGGTTTTGCTGACAGCTCTGCTCTGGTCAAGCACCAGCGGATCCACACCGGAGAAAGACCCTATAAATGTGGCGAGTGCGGCAAGAGCTTCAACCAGAGCTCCCACTTCATCACCCACCAGCGGATCCACTTGGGAGACAGACCCTATTGCTGCCCCGAGTGCGGCAAAACCTTCAATCAGCGTTCCCATTTCTTCACACACCAGAGAACGCACACAGGAGAGAAACCCTTTCACTGCAGTGAATGCGACAAGAGCTTCCGGCAGAAAGCACACCTTTTGTGCCATCAGAACACTCACCTGATGTAGGAAATAGTCTTTCGTGCTTCTCCTCCCTTCCAAAATTCCATCACTGTTGTCTTTGTTTCTGTTTTTTCTTGGCTGTGCTGCAAGGCACATGGAACCTTAATTCCCTGTGTGCATGCTCAGTCGCTCAGTCATGTCCAACTCTTTGCAACTCCATGGACTGTAGCCCGCCAGCTCCTCTGTCCATGGCAGTTCCCAGGAAAGAATACTGGAGTGGACTGCCATTTCCTTCTCCAGAGGATCTTCCCGACCCAGGGATGGAGACCAGGGGTCAAACCTTGCATTAGAAGTTCGGAGTTTCAGCCACTGGACCACCGGGAGGTCCCACCACTATTATCTCTAAGTGCTCCAAACAGAGAAAAGCTGAGCATTGGTAGCTCATGTCAGGCCCTAATCTGTTCTCTTTTTCTGTTTTTTCATGGCAAGGATAAACCTAGAGGGTCCAAACAGTGTTCTAAACACAAAAAGCATTCCTTCAGTGTTTTTGACTGACTCAGAGAGAAATGTGAGTTTTGTGGTTGATACCTGGTTACTAAAAGAGAAGTGAGATAAATGTAGTCATTCTATCATTGTGTGTGTGCTAAGTCCCTTTGGTCCCATCTAACTCTTTGTGATCCCAATGGGACTGTAGGTCACCAGACTCCTCTGGCCATGTGATTCTCCAGGCAAGAATACTGGAGTGGGTTGCCATTTCCTCCTCCGGGGATCTTCCTGACCCAGGGATCCAACCCAGGTTGCTTGCATTGCTGGCAGATTCTTTACCACTGAGCCAGCAGGGAAGCCCTAAATGACTCATTATGGGTCATATAACTAACTCACAGAAAAACCAGAATCTGTCTGCAGGTCTCCTCTTCCACAACATGGAACAGACCAGCTCTGGGATTTGTTAGAGCATCTCTGAGACACCACACGACTGAAGGAACCATATTATGTCCATTAAACCACTCTGAAATTGGAGATGATGCGGGGAGGTAGCCTAAGTTCCCAACAACTTTACAGGGTCCGATGCTGAGGTCCTTGATCCTCATGGAAGATGTAAGTGGGTAAGGAGGGAGTTGGGTATTGAACACTCTGGAGAGAAAAGTGGGAGACTGAAGGTTTTTCTTTCAAGCTTTCCTATGTCAATACAGACTAATACATCAGCCTTGGAACACTAGTTCTTGTCCAGTATATGGAGTGCCATCTGAGTGCTAAAACAGGGGATAGAACTCAGATGACGACCTAAACACTTTCTTTAATAGATAATTCATCAGGGGGACTTCCCTGGTGGTCCAGTGGCTGAGGCTCCGTGCTCCCAATGCAGGGGGCCCAGGTTCTGTCCTTGGTCAGGGAACTAGATCCCACCTGCCGAAACCAAGCATTCAAATACCACAACTAAAGATTCTGCATGCCTCAATGAAGCGCTGGTGCAGTCAAATAAATAAAAATAAGTATTAAAAAATTTATGTCATTTATTGTGCCCATCTTTGCATGAAATGTTCCCTTGGTATCTCTGATTTTCTTGAAGAGATCTCTAGTCTTTCCCATTCTATTGTTTTCCTCTATTTCTTTGCACTGATCATTGAGGAAGGCTTTCTTATCTCTCCTTGCTATTCTTTGGAACTCTGCAAAAAACCAGTCAATCCTCGAGGAAATCAGTCCTGAACATTCATTGGAAGGACTGATGCTGAAACTGAAACTCCAATACTTTGACCACCTGATACGAAGAACTGACTCATTGGAAAAGACCCTGATGCTGGGAAAGATTGAAGGCAAGAGGAGAAGGGGACAACAGAGGATGAAAGTTGGATAGCATCACTGACTCGATCAACATGAGTTTGAGCAAGCTCTGGGAGTTGGTGATGGACAAGGAAGCCTGGTGTGCTGCAGTCCATGGGTTTGCAAAGAATCAGACACGAGTGAGTGACTAAACTGAACTGAAAGCATTAAAAAATAAATANCTCACATCCATACATGACCACTGGAAAAAGCATAGCCTTGACTAGATGGACCTTTGTTGACAAAGTAATGTCTCTGCTCTTTAACATGCTGTCTAGGTAGGGCTAGGACACCTCATTCTCAGTGAGTATCCCCAGTGGATTCTGAGCCAGAGGTCCTCAGACCATACTTGAGAAGCATGGATTTTGAGACTGACCACACGGCTCCAAAGTTCTCCTCTTCTCCCACCACTAACACATTCAGTGGTGCATGCGTGCATCCCTGTGAACTTGGGGGAACCTTGGCATAGTCTAGAATGAGGGTTTTTCTAACTTCTAAATATGTTCCTGCCTGCACTGAGAAACGAATAGGGCCCCAAGGACTGAAAGGAGATCAAACCAGTCAGTCCTAAAGGAAATCAACCCTGACCATTCTCTGGAAGTACCAATGCTGAAGCTAAAGCTCTAATACTTTGGCCACCTGATGTGAAGAGCCGACTCACTGGAAGAGACCCTGATGCTGGGAAAGATTGAAGGCAGGAGGCAAAGGGGGAGGCAGAGGATGAGATGGTTGGATATCATCACCAACTCAGTGGACATGAATTTGAGCAAACTCTGGGAGATAATGGAGAACAGAGGAGTCTGGTGGGCTCCAGTCCATGGGGTCACAAAGACCCGAACATGACTGAGCAACTAAACAACAACAATATGGGCAATAACACTCCATAGTGATCTTATGCACTTCTGTCAGGAAGCACCTGGTACCTCTTTTTGTCTCTTTTCTTATGAAGTTGGCAACCATTGATAAGCCCTTATTTCACTTGGGTTTGCCAAATGCTTTTATATCTGTCATCCTTCTTCATCTATTAGCTGAAATACTTTTTTTTTTCTCATTTTTGCAACAAGCTTTATTACTTTTTTGAAATACTTCTTTAAAGAGAACTCCCCCAATCAACTATTTGGTTTCCCTGAGGTACAGCTTGTATAGGAACAACAGTTGCTTGATTAGAACCCCTCTGATTTCTTCTTAATAAAACTATATAAATGTGGGCCTCCATGCCTTAGATTTTAAATGCCTTCCAGTAAGAGACTCTGCTCTGACAGGACATTTATAAATGCATAAATCTCAGAATAAATTTTTTCTAATGGCCTCTGATGTTTTTCTCCTGCTTAAACCCCTCTAGTTTGACTAGGTTCTCCAGAAAGCCGTGTGCTAAAGAGCTCAGAAAACACTTGAGTGATTCCTTAGGGATGGACTTGTTAAGTTGCCAATTAATATTGGGTTGACCAAAGAGTTGGTTCAGGTTTTTCCATAAGATGTTACAGTAAAACCTGAAGGGAAATTTTGGCCAACTCAGTATTTCTTGACCCAGGCCTGAAAACAGGAGAGGAAATTACATTCCCATTAGCTGGGAATGGTTTTACAGCCCTTTCATGGTACTATACGAGCATATCATCTTCATTTATCTTATCTATCCAAGCACTGTTCTAAGTCAGATACAATCAGCATGTTAAATAACTAGGGAAGTCCCATATCCTATTTTATTTTCATCAAAGCCCTTATACCTGTCTGATCTTTACCTGTTTACTTGTTTTGGTAAACATCATGGTAGGAGGGTGGGGAAGATCCCCTGGAGAAGGAAGTGGCAACCCACTCCAGTACTCTTGTCTGGAGAATTCCATGGATGGAGGAGTGGAACAGCCTGCAGTCCATGGAACCACAAAGAGTCGGACACAACTGTGCAACTAACTTTCAGTGGTAGGTGGGAGCCATCTCTCCTACTTGCCATTCTTTCCCCGGCACCTAAAACAGTGCCTGGCATGTACTAGGTGCTCAGTAAACATTCATTGAATGAATTCTTGGAGGCATGCTCATAGGCAAGGAACTCGTGCTGGAAAAGCAGTGGTGTGAGACGAAGAGGGACAGGTGAGTGAGAGTTACACCAGGGAGGCTATTAGTTGCCAAATGAGTGTGGATATTATTCTCTGGGGGAATGGAGTGTGTGTCCTCAATGATGGTTTTCCAATAGAGAAGAGGCATGATCAGTGTTTAAGGAAGTTTGATTGGGCAGCCATGTGTAAATCACATTCCAAAGGGAAAAATGAAAAGCATTGCCTCAATGCATGATATCAAGGGCTTAGTGTCTGGCCCATAGAAGCTCTCCAATAGATGACTGTTAATCACCAAGCACTGTGGCAGGCACTGGGAGATACAGAACAAAAAGGCAAGACCATTAAACCTTTCTCAAAAGAATTGTTCCTAAACCCTACTGTCACATTCCTCCCCTCCCCAACCTTTTTAAACAATTTTGTTTTCTATGTCTGTGAAGACTCACTATATTTTAAAAAACTATTTTTTTTATTTATTTGGCTGTGTTGAAGCCAAATAAATAGTTGCAGCACAAGGAATCTTCACTGGGTCACGGGAATCTTTCGATCCGGCCCACAGATTCTCTCTAGTTGTGGTGCAGGGGCTCAATAGCTCAGCAGCACATGGGATCTTAGTTCCCCAACCAGGGATCAAACCTATGTTACCTGCCTTGCAAAGTGGATTCTTAACCACTGGACTACCAGGGAAGTCCCCCTTTCCTTTTTGTCAAACTTCCATTAATATGTATCATATTCTCAGGGCTATCATGTCCAGGCTCTTTTAATTGAGAGTCTCACCTCCACGATACCTTTGGCTTAGATTTCTCTTTCCCCCTCTTTCCTGTATTTTGCTGGTGCTAAGTCATGGAACTTGTCTCCACACTGCCCCCACCTTTTTAATTGTAAAAGCACCATGTGCTTTTTGTAAACTTCTCCAAATAGTACAGAAGCACCCACAGTAAAAGAAAAAAAAAAAGAAAATGCCTCGATTTTTCCTTATTCCTTCCCACAATGTCACTCCCCAGAATTCACCCCTGTAATCATCTGGCATCCCAAATCTTGTTCCTAGCTCCTGTTTTCCATCCGCACTCCAGCCTTAAACTAAAGAGATGGTTTTTCATCTGTTCTCAATGATATTTCCCTTCAGTTCAACTAAAAAAATACCAAAAATTTATTGAGTGCTATACACCAAGTATCAATAACCTCAGATATGCAGATGATACCACCCTTATGGCAGAAAGTGAAGAAGAACTAAAGAGCCTCTTGATGAAAGTGAAAGAGGAGAGTGAACAACTTGGCTTAAAGCTCAACATTCAGAAAACTAAGATCATGGCATCTGGTCCCATCACTTCATGGCAAATAGATAGGGAAACAATGGAAACAGTGGCGGGGT